GAGACACGAAGAGGTAGTGACAACCACCTGTCAGAAACCTATCTAATAAACTTGGAGACAGGCGCCTGTTTTGGCTTTCTTTAATTTTCCAAAAAGTCAACAGAAATACCCAAGCCTTTTCTCGTTCGGGAACTGTTCACTAGCCATAGTCGCCTTGAAGCACAAGTAAAAATATGGAAAGACCTCATTGAAGCATATTTGCTTGCGAAGAGTAACATAACCGTTGCCGTTGAAATGAATTTTGCCCCATATCAATCAGAAGTACGATCTTAATCGGACAGACAATAAATGTGGGTGGTGATCAGTAAGCTCTGTTAACTTCCGATGATGGCATTTCTTCATTCAGAAAATTATTATGCGAACATCAAAACATCGGCTCGGTTCGCCGTGATTATCACCACGAATCATTCAGATTAGCAGAATGTTTTCGATTTGCAACGTTGCTTCATATTTGGTTTTGCTCCGTTGCAAAACGTCAGCGTATTGCAAATGCAGACCGGTCAATACGTTGTTCATCATGTCCCCGTTGGAATCCTATTCAATATTAGAAATATTTTATTTCTGGCAGTAGAAGTGCAAAATCGCACTCTGATAACATCTTCAATAAACAATGATTTCCATGAATGTGAAATTCATTTAAATGTGTTGGTGAAATAGCTGAGCAGTGCATAATAAATATGTCACCAAAGTAGTGGGCATTAAAGTTACTTTTGTAAGCCATGCCGGAAGAGATTCAGTAATGGAATCAAACGCTTCATTATCACGATTTCGGAAACGTCAGAAAAGTGTGAAGCCTCCTATGGAGGCATCATACCAGAAAGATACACAGAAACAGAAAAATGGCGGATGGTTTTACCACATAAACTGCTCGTACGGATGGCGCTTCTTTGGAGAAACCGTTAGAAAGGTGAAGAGTGAATCATCATTGAACGCATGACTTGCCTAAGACAAGCCGATGAGAATGGTTCTACTTTTGCTGAATACAACATACCAAAGAGCCATGCAATGAGATTCAGGATAGATTGTCCGTTTTCAGAAACGCCAAATGGCAGAAACGATAGATAATGGAAGCAGCCTTGATGGACCAAACAAGAATCAGGATAAACAGGCAGGACATTCCAGGTCAACACCTCATGGCTTCCCAAGATAGTAGCACTCGATTGTCAATAAATGTATTCTGCCCGAACTTTTACAAGTCTCTCGTTAAAAGCATCCACATACTATTGCAACTTTACCTTACCTAAAACGATCAATATGCATCAAGAACAGACAAGATCCCGTCAACGAGAGGTAATCGCCCAAAATTTGGAAGGGAATTACACCAAGTTCTATCCTAGCAACTGCTGCACTTCAGATGCAAGACCGTTGCAGATCTTACTTCGAGTTTAACAGTAGTTCCTAAAGTCTTGAATCCAAACTAAACTATCCAAATAATGTCATTAACAAAGTCTGTTTGAACGGACTAATATTTATACCCTATAATTTAATGACCAGCGCATAGTTTGCCTTGAAATATTAGCAATATCTCCAATCAATGCTATTAAGGCGAAACACCAGAAAATTTAGCGCGTTGGTTTCACGCAGAAAATTAAGTTTCCGGTCTTCGTATCTCCGCCGTATTGCTCTGCTTATCGACTTTATTACAGAAATTACCCAACTTTTGAGCAATTCTTGGCTATTTGCCAACGCTCCAAGAGGGGCCATGGTTTCCAAAAAGCCGGCTTTATTAAGCAAAATTTTGCAGCTTTAAAGTAAGCAGAGCAAATATCAAATCTGTCTATCAGTTTTGGCATGGCACAGTGATCAAAAACAAATTAATTTAAAACACATTTGTAACGGTGCTGGAGACGCAACATTCGCGTGTGTGAATATTCTCTTTTACCATGATATACAACTTTAGTATCAAGTGATCAATCAGGCTTTATTATTCCAAACAGATGTTATATTTAATGAACTTGATTCGATCAGTTTCGAGTGATATCGATTTTGTAACTTAGTTTGAGGCTAGTCTGAACGACTCTACGTTTTTCCTTGGAACTATTTCTAGAAAATTCCTAAGATGCTCACACAAATGTTTGCAACACGTGAATAACTGGCGGAACAGCGTTGAAACGTGGTTGAAACAAGATTCTCTGAACAAGTGCCAGTGACGTTTGACTTCTGTGAACGGTCCAAGGGCGCGTCAAACTTTCCGTTTAATTGACGAGTTCGCGAGGTTGCTTTAAATAGCGATCTGATGAGAAGATGATGCTGATGTGTCACTTTACAGCGAGAGAATGCCGGGTCATT